CCCCCCCCCCCCCCCCCCATTTGTAGTCTACGCTGCCCTGGCGACAACTTAGTCCATTCCGTCATCAGTTCCCCCATCGTCCCCGTTGCATAACGAGTGACCCACAACACAATCTACGCCTCCTTCGAAAGCATAAAATGAGGTCGGAGCACCCGTCAAAGCTCCACCTAAAACTTACGCTCTACTTCTTGGTCTCCACATCCATCCGTCACACGCTGGCCACCCGCCCCATTTGGGGGGCGGCGGGTCAACCCTTGCCCCGATCGTAAGAGATTCTTAGTTGGCCGCCCGCGCCCCCACTGCGGGGCGGCCGGCCATTCCTTGCCCCCTGACTAAAAGAGATTGCCTCGCTACAGGCAGGTGATTACGGCGGTTTAGCTCTCGCTAGCCAAGACGAAGAAGTGGTGAAAAAATATGGCAACGAACAGGGCTCATCAGTTACAGAAATAAACAATAAAAAAAACTTGTTCAAGAAACCTCTGCCTCGGTGTTGGTTGTTCGCTCACAGCCCGAAAGACAGACAGGCTACTTTGACTATGTACTTGGTTTCTACGGCAGAGAGGCAAAACAGGCGCCTCGGTCATGTAGTGACACGCATCGTGGTGTTGGTTCACAATCGACGAGTAAGGGTGACTACAGTACATGGAAGACCGAAGAAAAGTAAGGATGGTTCGGTTGTGGGTATTTTTTAGGTCTTGTTTTTGGGACGCAATACCGAAGAGAAGAATGGTTGGTCGTGCGTAGTTTTTCGTGTCATGTAGTTACTTGTGGATGCAACCATATCATCGTGAAAGGACACATTGTATGGCGCGCCAAGACGGACAATCAACAAGATATCGTGTACGTGCATACACTGCCGAAGCCGTATGTATCATGCGCGCTGTAGACAATACCTAGATCGTCCCCCGATTCAGTGCAGCAGATACTCGCCATGAACGTGGCCAAATTGCCTGTTTTCGATACCTACAATGACCTTCGCGAGACCTGGGAGACAGCTGACTCAGGTTCACGTCCACCCCCGAGATGACTCGGCCGGCAGAACTTCGTGTCGAGACACAGCAGTCCAGTCTAATAATCTGCACTTCTGATCTGTACAAGGACAGTGCTGCCGTGCCAAGACATCCCGAGGCCCTGATCTGCACCACCTCGGATCTTTACAAAGATAGACTAGTCTACAGATAGCGCCCGCAGTTAAGAAAAATAACGTTCAGAAAAAAGCTCAAGTTTTTACGAAAATTCAGAAAAAAGGGCTAAGAAACATAGCTCAATCGCGGCCACAACGTAAGAAACGCCCCAATAAGAAGGAAGCACGATGGTGCGACACCCCCATGACACCAGAAATCTTCGGTGCTCCCACCCCCTTACTTACCCAGCTGAACAGAAGTGCATTTCTGTTTTCTATGGGGCAGCAGGAGGAGTGTTTTTTTTTCGCGCGCCCACCCCCGCCCCTGTTGTTCACTGTGATGTACTATAATACTGTAGTGCTACTGCACATCGCGGACAACCACGTACTCTCCGCTGTAGTACGTACGGGTTTGATGGCACTCTTCACCACCTCTCTTGAGGGCTTGATGAAGTGGATTGTCCTCAGATGTCAAAGGACAGAAATATGAAAATACGGCGTAGGAAAAAGAAATCGGGAGCATGGATGCGATACAGTCAAAGGAATAAGAAATGCCCTTAAATGAAAATGGACGACTTTGGCCGGTCCTTCGACCCAAAACAAGGGATCGAGTTTCGACCCGATTTTGACGTTTCTTACCTGCGGGCGCTTGTACCTGTGTACCGCTGCCGTGCAAAGATCGCGGTCGGCAACGCGGTTCCAAGTCAACGGCGGTTCTAAGTCAACGCGGCTCAAGCTTAAACCATCCGTTTACAAAGATGTCGTTGCCGCACTAAGATCGCGGTCGGCAACGCGGTTCCAAACCAACCGGGTTCAAGTCTAGCACCATCCGGCCCCGCCAGGGGGGTGACCCAATGCGCGTGGTCGGAGGACCACTCACTACCATTTCAACTCTAATACTCAACGTCGGTACATTGCCACTCACAGAACGACAAGGACTGGACCACGGTTTGCCATCCTAGGACGCCGGCGAGGATCTCCTGGGCGATACTTGTGCGCTTGGTCGCGATTTTGAACCGGTTGTCGATTGCCGTGCAGAGCGGCATGGTAGACTACTTGTACATGTCGGCAAGTTGATGTACTGCTGTAGGTCTTTTTGGAATCAACAACTAGACTAAACAAGTGCTTGTACAAAACAGATGTTTGTCCCGGGTTGGAGGACAAAAGAGAGCTCTGGAATCTCTTCAACACTTGCAATTGTCGTGTGGTTCAATCTGACGAGGCGACCAAGACATATATTCCGATTGCGTGGGTTCGATCTTGTGATGGGCGACGACGCCGCCGGCGCCGACGGTTTCACTTTTGAACCTGACGTCAATTCGTTGGGGTTCGCTACTGGTTCGCTCGGCTGTTCGAAAAAAAAAAAAAAACGTCAGTCGTGTGAGCTTTGAGCTTGCAAACGTCAACCTGCTGGCGAACGTCAACTTGCTTGTAGCGTAGCGTAGCAGCGCCAGCTGTGGGCTGATCCTGCTGCCTGTTTAGATTAGCGTCTTGAATCACCCGTGTGCGATACTTCTGTGCTATCACACGTGTCACTACTCTGCAGGGATCTGCTATATTAATGACGCGATCTGCTATCATTATTCCGCGATATGGCCTTCAACCATTGGTGCGCGAATAGTAGTAGTACGCACTGTACACCGTTGCAGCAAGCTCACCTCTCAGTACCAAGGTACATATTCCCGTACTTTGAATCTTAATATCGTTGTAAGGTGGCACGTCAGGCCGAGAATCTTGTACACACGCTCCCAAACACGTGTCAGATTCATGGATTTGGATTACCAGGCGGGACTGTCAATTAGTGTCGCAGATAAGAACTGATACTTCTGTAGTACCCCGGGTCGGGCGCGTTTTAATATGTTATGGTTGATCCACGGGGCTCTGGGCTCGGGGCCCTGGGAGCGCTCGCGGCTCGCTCGCGACGTCCACAACGTCCACACTATCTCCCGCCGCCTGTCTCAGCTGTCCGGGTCTCGATCTCTCTGCCTCATCTGATCTGCAATCATCTTCGAGAGGGGGTAGCCACCCCTTGCGCGGGCTACTTTGTGGGCCGGTTAACGTACTGGAAAACTGGGAATCTCCGACGGAGATTCTACCGACCGATTCGTGATGAGGCTGCCTTCAGAATATTGATACAAAACAGCGCCCGCACGGAAGAACACTGAAACTTAGCAGTGAGAAATTGGTCTCGACAAACTCAAAATCTAAGAATTCAAGCGCCTGCGGTTAAGAACCCCCTACACTAACAAAAACGTTTTTGAGGCCATTCGTAGCTTCACACTATTTAAGGATTCAAGAACCCCAGTCTGGGCAAAAACTGCAGCTTCCTAAGTGCAGGCGACAAACTTTGACGTTTCCCGGCCGAGGCCAAAGCGACCCTGGAAGGGTCCGCGGAACGGTTCTCACTGCCATCCCGTTCGGCGGCAAGACCACTTCGCGGACATCGGGAACTACCTCGAGACGAAAGAGATAGCGAAGTGGCACGGAGTGTGTGGCGACCCGGAACAGGTACGTACGTCGGTGTCATTGTTTGTGATGGGGGAGACAGAGACACCGCCGCTGCTATGCATAAGGCTGAATCTGCTGTTCGTTATCTATGGGTTGACTAGTACGAACGGTCCTCAGAAGGACGCACACGCCGCCGTTCCACCGACGGTTCCCTGGAAAACCCGCCGCTTCTCCTGTTGAGGTGGTGGTGGGCGTGGTGGCTCGAGTCCATCCCTCGGGCGACGGATCTTCGTGAAGAGGCACAAAGACGATGAACATCAGTCCCATCCGGGGAACGATCCGCGTACCGATTCGCGTACCGACGCCCTGGTTCTTTGACGCCGCCCCCGGCAGCAGCGGCAGCACCAGTATCGCACCTTTCTACTCTTCCTTCTCCCTTCGCAATCGGAGCATCTCTCGGGGGGAACGGGGGGCTCTCTCCGGCCCTCCGGCGAAGAAGCCGATGTCGCCGACTTTTATCGTCTCTTCTCGCGGTGCCGGCGGGGGCGGCGGCAGCGGCGGCGGCGGCGGCGCTGTGCCGCTCTTGGCTCCGGCCGTCGTGACGGCGCTCCGCGCGATGGCCAGTGCTTCGACCTCGGTGATGGTATTCGACGGGCGCGACGACGCTAGCTCCGTCTTGGAGGTCAGCGACGTCGAGGGGCTCTTGCTGGGGAAGGAAGCCGCTGCCGTGGCGGTGCTCGCCGTCTAGCGGCTTGCGAGACCAGATAAACGACGCGTGGGATCGACAAGATGCAAGGGTGGTTTTGTTGGTTTGGCTGTTGTCGTTGGCAAGAGCAGCCCGTTGCGTCAAACGCCTCGGCGACAACACTTCATCATCCGCAAGAGCGGCACGGCACACAGAATTCTAGAGCAAGCACGACGAGTCAATTTTTTCCCCACAGAAAAGCATTTCTACCCGGCGGATAAGAGGACAAGTTGAGAGCAGAAGACAGATCGAGAAGAAGACAACACCGAAATCACAATCCGCACCCATCGTGCGACTGACCACAGCAGCTCGATGACAGATTCACCCAGACCAACACCTGTACATGTCGCGTGCAGAGCTCACAAGCCAGCCAGCAGCAGCAGAAGCAGCAGCGAAAACAAAACCATCCACTTCCAACAAACAAAAAGTATACAGTAGTGTAGCTGGGGAAAAACGCACGTACCAGTCGTGTGTTGGAGCAAGAACACCACTAGCATAACCTTCCCACACCTTCCCATCTCTCTCCTTCACGGGTGCCCTTTAACACTACATGCTATGCATCCTTCTTCCACGCTTATCCCACCACAAACGCCGCGGCACTTCGGGTGTTTACTGACAAAAAGATCGATGCGTTTCGCCTGTACGCTTCCGACAAAACCTGCCCTGAGATATCCCCGCGCACCTCCTTGGCCCCCGAGGCCAGTAGCTGCCGGCTGAGCCCAGCGTACTCCAGCCCAAGCCCCTGAAGCCTGAGGCACAGCTGCGCATTCGACTCGAGCAAGGAGTAACACGCCCGATCCAGCTCCCTCAAGGCAGGCCCCGCCCCCACGCCGTGCCGGTGCTCCAAGGTTCGGTCCAAACAATTCCCAGAATCTTCTCGGCCTCGCCAGGGCTGATGACCCCCGGCGGAGAGTTGCTGCGGCGAGAAGACACCGGGGGGCGGGTTGCCCGGACTGGAGCCGTTGGCGCCGAACGATCGTTCCATCGCCGCTCCTGCACTCGCGGCGCGATGCCGACCTTCGCAGCGATCTGATTGGCCTGCAGCAGTTGCCACTCCGCGGTTCTGATGCCGCCCGGCGGTGGCATCGTTTCCGAGGAGGCTGCTGTTGCCTCCGGGAATTTTCTCGGAAGCTTTGTCGTCGCCGTTCTTGTCGCCGCCGGCGTTCTTGTGTGTCTCTGAGTATCGGTCGTAGAAGTGGCCTGTTTGCCTGATGAGGTCCGAGGCCTCGGCGACAATGCGCTCCAGCTTCGATGCCTGGTAAGAGGAACGGGGCATGTATTCTGTAAACTCCCAGAAACATATGGACATCAGTATATCGCCTACGCAGGATATTAAGAGTATCTAAGAAAAATAATTGGGAGGGGGCACGCAGACCCTATCCCTCAACCTATCCCTCACCCTAAAGCACGGATTGAATACTTTGTCCCAGATGTTTGCTTAATCAATTTTGCTGCGTAGACCACCGCGTTTCGAAGGAGGTCGATGACGACCTTAGGCGCATCGATTTGTTTCACCGGAAATTACTAAGCTTCACTTCGTTGCCTCCTTGAAAATACCGCTACCGACGACGACAACGACAACAACAACAACAGCAAAAGCAACGACAACGACAACTAACTCGGAATATCGCGGCAGGTTGATGATGAACTTTCTCGCATCGATCTTCACGGGATATTACTGCGCTTCACCTGCTTCGTGCTACTACGACTACGACCATAATAACGCTACTAGACTATTGACTATTAATAAATGCAACAACCACAGCACACAACAGCGACAAAGCCACTGCAACTCGGGAATTTGCAACCATAGTTGATGGTGAACTTTCCCGGACATGGCATCTTTCTTCACGGGAGGTGAACGACAATAACGCTATTTACTACTGTAGCCACAGCACCCACAGCGAATAACAACAAGAAACAACAACACAGAGACGATGGCGACAGGCAGGCACCACGACGAAGGTCTTCAACCCCTCAAACAACAGTCAAGCCAAGACGGTCCACAACAAGCACCCGACCGTGGCGTTGCACAACCAACTCGTAACATCCTCCTCTCGCTCGCGTCTCTAGGAGTTCAAGCTCCTTGGCAACCCACACCATGCATTGTTAGGCACTGCACTTTCGCTTCCACCTATTTGAGGAGAGTAGTTGCGATTCCCGCAGTACGAATGACTGTAGCGGCCGAAGCAACATGCACGGCGAACAAGAGCATCTAATTCCTATCCCCGAAAAAAACATTTCAACATACCCAGAAAAACAAATGTCGCCACACCTGCAGCCCCAAAGCCGACGAAAGTTCGTCCCCGTCCGATGATGACCCCCGTTCTAGGACCGATCCGCGGAACGGTCCTGTTCCCGCCGGAGCCCGACGATGCGGCGACATCTGAATTCCCAAACAAGGTCGAGACCGGCGGAACACGGGGCTAGTTGTCAACTTGCCTTCGGAAAAGGCGAAAAGATGGCACCTGGTGCGATCGGTGTACAAATGTTTTTTCCTCGGTTATTTGCTTTAGCTCCCGGGGTAATCTCACCGACCCCGGTGCGGAAGTTGAATTATAGCTTCACGATTTTTGTTTTGAGCACCCCGGCGTCATTTAGCCGACCGGTGCCATCTGTCCGGAGGGTGTCTGCTACATCTCTACCTTTTCCGGTAGTTGTGGCATACCCCCCCCGTGACAACTCCCGTCGATACGTTTCGCAGAGGTCTTCTGCTAGGAGGGGAATCGCGTGCGTCGGTCCACAAAGCGTTGTCGCGCCTGCTGCTGCTGCTGCTGCTGCTGTTCGATGCCAACACATTCACCGCTGTTTTCAAAGCACCTTTGTGCTGGGTGCTACGCAGTGTACTGCTGCTGCTGCTGCTTTTCGTTGCCAACGCATTCACCGCTGTTCTCAAAGCACCTTTGTGCTGGGTGCTACGCAGTGTACTGCTGCTGCTGCTGCTGTTCGTTGCCAACGCATTCACCGCTGTTCTCAAAGCACGTTTGTGCTGGGTGCTACGCAGTGTACTGCTGCTGCTGCTGCTGTTCGTTGCCAACGCATTCACCGCTGTTCTCAAAGCACGTTTGTGCTGGGTGCTACGCAGTGTACTGCTGCTGCTGCTGCTGTTCGTTGCCAACGCATTCACCGTTGTTCTCAAAGCACGTTTGTGCTGGGTGCTCGCAGTGTACTGCTGCTGCTGTTGCCAACGCATTCACCGCTGTTCTCAAAGCACGTTTGTGCTGGGTGCGTGGTACTGGTGGTGCTGCTGCTGCAGCCGAAACTGCCGAGTAATGTTTGGCACGGCCTATCGCACGCCAGTAAAGGAAAACATCGAAAACCGTTTAAGGAAATCCGACATAACACCGAATTGCTTTTTTCGGGAAATCCGACATTGTGCCGAAATTATTTTGTATCACGAGCTGGTTCAGGGAAATGGATACAAGAAGATTCAACAGCAAAACTTCACGCCGTTTTTAGGAGTTAGACTCTGAAACTTTGCACACATGTACCTTGGGGCATTACGAAACCCTGTGTGGGGGGGACCTTTTTTTTTTTTTCCCTGTCGCCGGATATCCGGGGTCCCAGGAACCCCGAAATCTCTAGGACCCCGGATATCCGGCGACAGGGAAAAAAAAAAAAAGGTCCCTCCACACAGCGTTTCGTAATGACCCAAGGTACATGTGTGCAAAGTTTCAGAGTCTAACTCCTAAAAACGGCGTGAAGTTTTCAACTCTTGTGCCATGAAGTATTTCGCATCCTGGATTTCCCCAAACTACTTGATTAAAGTATGAAACGGCGAAATTCAGGTTCTTTTGACGCCCAAACGACCCCATTTCATCAGTTTATCGAATTAGTCCATGAAAATTCATAGACACGGTTTTTGGAATATGTAGGTAAGGTAGAGTCAAGAACAAAAAAAAACACATAATGGGACAGACTTTGGGGGTCCCAAACAAGAGGCTATCTCCAACGCAGTTTGGCCCACCGACGGCAAGTCATAAATCGACCATTTTTCGAGCGTATTAGGCCAGTTTATGGAAGATGTCGACGAAACTCCATGCGAAGCTTCATTGCACTGTAACGGTGTCGTTGGTTAGAGAAAGGATCACCAACAGCCATGTTACCGGCATGTTGGGGTCTGCAAGAATCTACCTACTTACTAGACGGAAACACCAACCGTGCTGCCCCGAAGAGAGATTTTTTATCATCGCAGCGCGGGCCTTGTGCCAGCTTAACTGGGTGATAAAACACTGTTGATTCATGCACCGAGAACGCAAACATGCCAACATGCATGGACCGGTTTGCTGAGGGTCACACCGCGGCCGCTGCGTGTGCGGCGAGAACCTCCGGAGGGTCGGCCACGCTGATGTCGCTCGTGGGTGCATCAGTCACCGGGGGTGGCTGCTCGTGAGGCTCCAGCAGCGTGACGTGTTGCCCCTTCGTTAGCGTGGAGAACATAGCGCTACGGCCTGTGCGTCCATTGCAGCAGCCTCCTGGTCGCACTCTGCAACCCGCTGCTCGATGTATCTCCTCCGCTGTTCTGACTTGCGATCGCGCTTGCCGTACGCAAACGCCCGGCGCCCGAGTCCGGCGTTACGCAACCTGCTGCAGCGTAGGCGCATCAGGATTCTGGCCTCCTGCTGCAATCCCCTCAAAGCTCTGGCGTGTTCCGCTTGTTTTTGGATGGCAAACTTCTTGGCGACTTCGCAGTTCGGCGTCGTGCCTGAACACCGGTTCGGGGTAATTTTAACGGAGAACAGACCGGAACATGCGGCGATTGTATGGCTGTTAATTAAACTTTGCAATAAAGCTTGGATACAAGGACTGTGTCTTGGTAGAAAAAAACAAAGAGCGCCTGCTAGAGGACCGTTACTCAATTTGAAGAATAACCCGTGAATGTCAGTCCTTGTACTCTGCAAAACACACAGCCTCCCGTCGTGCAATACGACAGCCCCTCTAAGCCAATGTTGGTGTCTGTGTTTATCTGTGGGTGCGGTATGCCCTTGTGTCGGTTGCTCCTGGACGCGAGTTGTAAGAGTTGGGCACCTTGTTTTTGAGACGGGTTGCATGTATACAAGTTCGGGCCTGACTTGTACACAATGTTTTCTGGTACAATTGCGAGCTGCTGCTCTATGCCCTGGTGCGTTCGATAAAATAGACAGTTTGTTAACACAAGTTCGGATCTGGCGTGTATAACCACTTTGTGCTTCTTGTACGTACACTTGCGTGCTGCTGAGCACTGCTGTGTTCTATTAGAAGTAGAAATTAGAGATGGGTTGTACAATACACTATACTATTTTGTATCAATACAAGTAGTACTGCACTGCTGCATGCTGTAGAACTCGTCTACTGTTCAAGATTGTCCGATGCAAACAACGGGATTCGTGTCGAGGTATGCATACATACATACACATGGATGCTGTTGTACTGCAACTTGCCGTTTTTTCACACAGCTACACTTGTCATGGAAAACACGCTCCAACCATACGCATGAACGCCGGCTAGTGTTGTTGTACATGTCACCACCGTGCTAGCAACGCGCCCGTCTGGTTGCTGCTTCGCTGGATGTTTCAACCCACCACGGAGTACATACCCTGCCGCTTTGCTGCTGCTGCGGTTGTACAGCAGTACTGCTGTACCGTACTGCTGTGCAGCAGCAGTAGCTACGTGCAGCAAGTTCCGCTCAGCAATCGTAGGCTCACCGTGCTTGAGCGACAAGCTCCGCCTTCGCATGGGCTTCTCCAGCTCACTTGTCCAGTTGTCCGCGTCTCCGAGCGCTTCCGCCTTCGTCTCATACTTGAAGGCGATGTTCTTGCGGATGCCCGTGGCATGTGGCCGTGGGTGCTAACGTGCATCTGAGCCTCCAACGCTTCGTGCTGCTGCACTGCACTGCGCAAACTTGCGATATTTTGCGTTTGTGGGTGTCAACGTAGGGATCCACACTTTGTAGTGGCTCCATTGTGGAGGGTCTCCTTGCGTACGAGACGCGTGTGCAGAGGTACTCAGCTGGTTGTACAGCAGCACCGGTGCAGCAGGAGCTGCGACAACGGCTGAGATTTTCAAATTCAAATGCGGCGTAATTATGTTTTTGTCCCCGTTTTGGGAAAATCCTGCATATCGAAATATTTGGAGGCTCCTCATTGGCTGAGGCACGTAATAGCCCATATCTTCCCAGCGAAGCCTTAAATCGAAATTCCGGCCATGACGATTTGTTCCTTTGCTCGTGGGGGTCACTATGATACTGCGTTTGTCAACATCATGTACAAAATTCGTCCGGCAGGAGTGGTTGAATAAATTTTGGTCCATTTCCCTGAACCAGCCTGTAAATCCGACGCAAGTATCGAAATAGAATGAGCGAAATCAGGGGGCGATAGTTTCGCCAACCACCCAGTCCAAACCAGGGCATAACAGGAGAGGACCTCGTGACAGCTCTCGACTACACGTAAATCTTATCCTTCAACGTCGGTACAGTGCGGGAACAGCAGCACACTCTGTCTTAGGGTTAGGGTTACGGTTAGGTAAGTAAATCTGACCGTATATGACACAAGATAACACACACCCTGGACCGATATTCGAAGCTCGAACACTCCACGACGAAGAGGATCCACAAACGAAACGATCATTTTGCGGAGAGCTCTCGACGAGACGGCTCCAACGCCGTCGTTTTCGGCGCTGCGACCCTTTCGGTTGTTGATAAATCGAGCTTAGACAATCGGTCAAGGGGGTGTGTTACCTTGTGTCACATACGGTAATCTTCGACGTCGGTACGCTACGGGAACAGCACACTCTGGTACAGCACTGCACAATACTCTAGCAGAATCAGCCGCACTCCTGCAATTGCTTTGGGCACCCCCTTGTGACGCTCCCGCAGCTTCATGACGGCAACATTGCAATTTGACACAATTAGACGATTGTCGACAGATTTGTCATTTTCTCTTCCTGGTTCGTTGACGTTCGTTGTGCTCTTCGCGTCAAAAAACACACCAGCTACGTGAGCTGTTCGAGCTTGGGAAACGTCACTGATGGCAGCCGGCAGCTGATTTATACGAGATATCGAGACATGCTTTACTTTGATCTTGGCACCACGCTATTACTACACACTCTGATGAGCCCGCCTCGGAGGCGTGCGATGGAAACAAAGCTGAGGTTCACTTTATCACAAGGGGCAGCAGGGGGGTGTACTCATAGTCGTGCATGCCGTAGTCGTCAGACCATTGACCTCGCATCCCTGCAAAGCCGGGACGGAGCACGCCGGGTTCTCACCGGACCAGGCTCTCACATCACCAAGCGCGAAGCGCCGTGAGATATTCGGCGAGTCGCATGAAGGGTGCGCTGCATCCTGCTAAGGGTGTTCGGCATCTTGTGCTTACTTCCTTGCCTACGGATGACAGCTTCGTATGACTTAATTTATTTTCTGGTGCTTTCACTTCCTGAGACAGTTGTAAGCACTGTGGATCTAACTGCCTCGAGGGCGCTTGACCATTTAAACACAACGTGGTGCGATCTTTTGGGCGCGGAGTGAGGGTTCTCGACCCCGCACAACATGATCTACTCGACCACCATCATGGTTACCGCCAAAAACAAAAACGGAGGTAAAAAAAAAAAAAACGGTAACCTGGTTGGTATCACAAGGGGCGGGGGGGGCCAAGAGTCCCCGTGGCGGAAAAGCCTTTCACCTCGCCAAGGAGACCCTGCGTCTCCCGCACCTCTCGCAGCACGGCTTCGCTGATCGCGTTCTCTTCCCGTCTGGCCCTCCTTTCTTGCTCCAGCAGGCAGGTCAACCTTGCAAGGCAAGGGGAGACAAGGACTAGCGTCAACACACCCGACACCGGAGCGAGCACACAAAGCGAAGAGGCGAGGTGCGGCGCAAACAAGCGTTGGCCGAAGCGGGGGAGTCGAGACGAGGCTTCGACCGTGAGCGAAAAATCAAACCAATGACACTTTTTTTGCGACAGGGGTTCGCGATGTTTTCGTCGTCGTCCTCCTCCTCGCGGCGCTTTCGAAAGCACGCTCGCCGAAGGCACGTCGTGGGCGCTTCTTCTGCTACGCAAAATACACGGTGTTGCCTGCGCTGTAACTTTCGTTCGGCACCCCCCGGTAGCGCATCCGTGGAGTTGACAAGGCAAACAAGGGCTTGAACCGCGGTGACTACTGTAGCACTCCAAGAGACCGAAGGTTTCGACTCGAGAAAGCGGACCTACGTACTTGGCTCCGCGTGGGAAAAAAACAAAAGCAGCATCATAGACTGCTGCGTGACCGCATGCGTCGGGAGGATGTAGATAAAAAGCAAACCGAGTGGTTGAGTGCTGGATGGGAGTAGCAAGAGCGGACCGAGTGATTTGGTTGATTGCTGGGTGGGAGTAGGGCAAGCAGATTGCTGGACGGGAGCAACTAGACCAAGATGAGTGGCTGATTTGCTGGACGCCGCTTGCGCAGCACCCAAAGAGGGCGGTGGCGGCGGCGGCGGCGTGCGTGTACATTCCCTCGCCTGCTGGCTTCTTCGTCTCTGGCGGCCCTCTCGTCCTCCAGGAGCTCCGACAATCGTGCCGCCTCCTCCTTCGTAGAAACCCTCTCTCGCTCTCTCCGGCCCAGCTCTTCGTGCAACAGGTTTCCTAGCCTGGCCGCCTCCGCCGCCGCGGAATCCCTCTGCTCCTCCAGCTCTCTCTCCTGAAGGTTAACGGCCGAAACGATCCGAAATGAGGTTCAACGAGTTAGAAAAATGCTTTCATGTCTACGCGACCCCGTGTAGAGGTTAAACCTGTTCAAAACGGGTTTGTACATGCATAGACCGATGTTCAAGTTCAACTGGTAAACGGGTTTTAATGCTATGATCCAGGTGGTACATTCAATATTTTGTCGGCTATTACACATGCTAGAGGCTCAACATGCCTTTAGGCTGTACGATATGTTCCGTTGAACCGTCTTGCTTCGATCGTAGTCGACACGAAAGGTTCGGGTACGAGACACCTACCAAACCGAAACAGATGGGGATTCGGTCTATCGACACAGCCGAGATTCCAGTAGAGTGCTCAATACTACCACGCCGATTTTCGCGAGAAGGGCAGCACAGCAACAACGTGAGTTGTTGAGTCGGATGGCAATTGGGTTCGCTCATGGCACGCACATGAAATTCCACGTACGCGTGATAGGTAGGATCTACGATCGTCACCAATGACCACCTACACTTGTTTGCTGCAGAGACTCTGTCGACAAGACCAAATGCTATCATAACCCGAACAGGCACAGCAGTCGGTGCGTGAGTACCTCGTGTCCAACGCGAATGTGTTACTACTTGTGATGACAAGAATCAGCTCGTCTAGAGCACGAATCACCAGGGGAGGGGGGGGGGGGGCGCTTGAAGAAATGTCTGCCATCTCGAATGAGTTGCAAGAAAACACTCCTATCTTGCCGCCTTCCAAGCAGTGCAACAAACCTTTGACGCATNGGGGGGGGGGGGGGGGGGGGGGGGGGGGGGGGGGGGGGGGGGGGGGGGGGGGGGGGGCGCTTGAAGAAATGTCTGCCATCTCGAATGAGTTGCAAGAAAACACTCCTATCTTGCCGCCTTCCAAGCAGTGCAACAAACCTTTGACGCATCTTGAAGGCCTTTCTTTGCTCGTTTGTTGTTGAGATTGTTGGGAATGCCGGGAAGACTGCTCAGCGACCTCGCCGCACTGCGCCCATGCTCCAACACAAAGCCTGCCCCAAGAACACACACTGGCTTCTAGATCACTATTCCCATCGTCGCCTAAGTGTGCCATATTCAAACCGATGAGGACTTGAGCACATCCTCCTTGAGCGTCGCCTCAAGTAGGTAGTCCTCCGAACCCAAAGACAACAAGTACACATTACAGACTTACCCAACAACAATACCGCACGTAACCATACCTTGTCTCGGCCGCGGGAAATTGCCGGGGAACTTTCCAGGAACTCTCTCCGGGCTTTCTCGGCGCTATGGATCTCTTCGTTGAGCTGGGACTGCAGGGTTTCCTGGGACCGCAAGAGGCGCTCCTTGTCCTGTTGCTGCTGGAGGGCCTCCGTTTTGTAACGGTCGACTTGCTCGGAGAGGGCGGAGAGCTTCTCCTCGAGCAGAGACGCCTTGCCCTCTAGCAACTCCATCTGGGCGTATTCGTCGCGCGCCAAATCGCAACGTTCGTGTCAACGTCGAGTCGCAAAAAAGAGAGCAGTCAGCGGTAGGGAAGGGATACACTCTGTTTTTTTTTTTTTGTTGTTTTACCTTCGTGAGTTGGCCAATGATCCCTCGCGACAACCCTCACGTTTGATTTTCTCATGTGCATGGAACCATGCACACCACAACATCGGAGCAGGGGGGTGGCTGTCATCGTTTGGGTGTGTGCAAATAAATAAATGGAACGAACCTCAACCCCGCATCTCGCGCACGGTCGCCTTGGCCAAGCTTCCGGACGTGCGGTTGCCAGCCAACCCCCTCTTCTTGTGTTTTCCCACTGCACCGTTGAGTCTAGCCTATTGCCCTAAGAAAGATGCTGGCAAGGGTTCAACAGCCGGACGATGAGTCTCTCGTCGTCCATTTCAGGAAAATTCAGGATTAAAAAAAAAAAAGTGAGCCTACTCACGACGGCTTGTACGCAGATGAACAGGAGTTATGGAAAAGCATTCTCCATCGAAAAATCGGGCAAACCAAAAAACACGCGGTGTAACGTCCACAGTGGCGTGGTACGATTTGCAGTTGCTACCGACGGACAAGGGGAATCGTCATGGCTCCCGGGCAGAACTTACCGTGCATCAAAAAACGTAGACCTCAATTCTAGCCCACACGACGACTCGCTTTACCAGCGTCACGGTTTGAGGTCGAAGTTCTAACTTGCATGACGACTCGCCTAACCAATGTCAGGATTTTACTTACGAACGTCACGATGTGAGACCTAAGCTCTAACTCTCACACACGACGGCTCGCTTACCGGCAGGGTTTGAGGGTCGAAATTCCAACTCGCACGACGACCTGCCTTATCAACGTCGCGATTCGAGGTCGAAATTCAAACTCGCACGATGGACTCGCCTTATCTTGGAGCCTCTGGCGGTGGCCCCTCTCCTCTTCCAGTTCGTGGCAGGCGGCACGGTAGTCACTCTCAGCCTGGGAGAGTGACGTCATGAGCTAGCTGATTAGTGACGTCACGTCGGTCAGCAAGGGCAGGGCACAGATGTTAATCAAGCTGGGAGACGAGCAGCCCATTAGGTTGCATCGCCAATCCAAAAACGATTATGACAGCCGTCTGATTGAACAGCAAGAGTACATATGTCAATCAAAAGTGACTGGTGTTCACAGTAGTTTGGGTGAACAACAATCCGTCCCCCTATTACACAGTTCATAAGCACCCGCCCAAGACCGGTGAACCCTAACCCTAACCCTAACCCTACATCTGCACCCCA